GCAATTTGGAGGAGTCGAGGGATTAGGGTCCGTCATAGGAATTAACATAAAATAGGCAAACAAATTTCTCGAACTGCGTTCAACCCGAAACGTGCCGCCCCGTGGCATTCTTTTCACTATAATATGTACATATTTATTTTTATTTTTCACAACTTTGTCTAAGCAAACAAGAAATCGTGGCACGTGAGCATTTTACAAATGAACCGAAACATAAAGAAAAAACCAAAACCAGAAACAACAACACCGCAGCACACCTACAAATACCAGATTTCATAAAAATACACGAGTAGAGCCCATAAAAAAATTAAAATAAAAACCAAAAAACAGCAGCTGCATTGGATGGACGACCATGGTTTTTTTTTTAAATATTCAAACGTACTTTGCTATCTTTTTGTATCGGTGCGTACGTTCTATGGGACATGCGTGAGATTTAATGAAAATAACACAAGGTAGGGCCGAATAATTTGTAGCTGAAATCTGATTGTCCTATAAAATACATAAAGCTGGTTTTCCTTATTTGATTTGAAGATTAATGCAATAGGGAAACTCAATCAAATTCATACAACTGCCATTATTATGGAAGTAAAAAAATGTAATATACTTGCAATAAAGTCAGATATTTTTAGGGATATCGCAATCACTTTTAAGTTCCTTTATCAATTAAGGAAATCCAGATTTTTCTGTACTATTTTAATAGAGTATTTTTCAAAGAGTTTCCACATTTTTCTCCCAGCTATAACCCATCATAACTTGAGATCTGGACGTGCTGTCGATGCGGAGTGGAGTGGTGGGAGTCGGTTCTCATTTAGATTGCATCTGGCATGACGAACGGACTTGAAGTCGGGTCTATATTTTGGCGGATTGCGCATTGTCTTCTAGTTTCGCCGTCGAGGTGCTGATATAAAACGCCCGATTAAATTTATGCACCCACTACCACGATGGAATGGCGATGCCAACACTGCGCTGCACTTTTCACTTGTGATTTATGCCGCCGGGGCGTGGCAGCTCAATTGGGTGGGTGTGGGTGCGGGTGCAGTTGCCCAAGTCCCAAGTCCCAACCACCGATACCCCGATCCCCAAGAATTTCTTAATGGTCAGTTGGTAGGCTGGTCGGGGGTCTCGTTACGTGACCAGCTGGAAAAAACGCAACAAAGTATTTTCCTTTTTTTGTTGCGAAAGCGAAAAACGAAAGTGCCAAGTGGCAGATTGTCGCCGGTCGGCTCCTTGGACTGGAGCCATCGCCTCCTCCTCCTCCTGCTGCTTTTCCCCATCTGACTGGTCAATTGCCGCATTGCATCATCTTTTACATCTCATATTTCGTACTGTTGTATAGTCTGGCCGGCCGTAAATACCAAATATAATTGTTTAACTGTCCATAAAAATGGAGAAGCATAAAAGGAGACCCTTTGCGGCTGCCAACGAGCGTCCATTGAACTTGGCGCAGAGTGGGGCTCCGAAATCGCCTCAAAGAGCTATCTTTGAGCTGTCTCCCCGACGAAATAATTTCACACCAATGTGGCAGAAAGTATCTGCTGGATGCTGAATGTGAACCACGACTACCTGACAGTGTCCCATCCATCAATCCACCAATCGGTGGAAAGATTGCGCCACAGGTCAGCAGGTGTTCGAGTTGTTTGGGGGTGGAACTCATAGGCGTAGTGCCAGATGATCTCTGGTTTGTTTTCCTTGGGAATTACTAGTTGAGACATCAGCGAGGTGTGGGAAACTGAAGGGAACTTCACCGAGGAAGCTGCCTGCTTGGATCAGGGATAATTGGTGTGGGAATTTTCATAGATGGTCGGTGAATATGTAGTCCTTGATATAAAACCATTAACTATTATTAGAAGGGTAATATCCTTTTAAATTGTTTTAATAAATAAAAGAACACTGTTATGCCAAGTATCCCAAGATTACTACATATCCTCAAAAATCTTGTGTAAGGCATTTAAAACTAAAAGCCAGGCTTACAGCCAGATAAATACGGTTCGAATGCGAAGCTCTCTATTATTAGATTGGCTTTTCCCTTTCGCCACATTTCGTCACATTCCTGAACATTAAGTGCCTTTAATTGGCCACACAATCTGTCGCCGTAAACCGAACGTAAACCTCAATTGAGCAAACTTGATTTATGAGCGATTGCAGTTGCAGATATTTCGCTGTTTCGCTATCGCCGCACTCTCACTCTCCTCCGAACCGCTTGGAAAATGGAAAATTGCATGTCAACGGAAATTGCTTAATCATTTCCACGCGTATCATGTGCACCCCATATATTTTCCTTTTGCCAAGTGACTAATCCATCTGTCTGTCCTCTTCCTCTCTTGCAGGTAAGTTTCACCGATATCGGCTTTTGGGTTATAGGCAGACGAAGGAAATTATTGCGTAAGTCAATAAAAATCGAGGCTGATTTGTTTGCTTAGGACTTCCCCTCCGGGGTTGCATAATCCGGTTCCTGCGAGGAAGTGGCTCGTAAAAAGGGAGCCATTAGCATGTGCAGCCTAAAAAGCGAGGTCCATAATGGACTTTCCAATCAATGCAGCAGCGATTATGGTTTGCCAGACGCGACCAATAAAATTATTGGCTCATTTGGTCAGGCGGCTAGCGAAATAAGAGGAAAACCAACTGGCAAGACGGACGAACACTTGTGAGTCCGTGAGATACTCCACTCCCAGATTATCGTGAGCATCTTCTGCCTCACTACTACCAATATTACCACTACCTGACCCCTTGTCGCGCCTAACGATCTTTAACCTGGCCAACAGAAATCCCATCTTGGGCCAGACAGTCTGCCTCTGCCTCTTTTGTTGTTATTGATCGCTGTAGCGCTGCACAGCACTCAAACGTGCGTCGAGTATCTTTGTGTCTCCGCATCTTCGTATCTCTGTATCTTCGTATCTGGCGAATGCATTCGGCGGTATCTCGAGTGTCTGGGTGTGTTGTTTGTACCAATGTTTGAATGCTTGCCCGGCTCATTTGCAAAATCTGCTGGGTAATCAGACACCGGCTAGGGATGTCAATTAGCTGTTGCTGCTGTTTTGCCAAGTGCGTGACCATTGAACCTGCATACTGCATACTGCATTCCCCTTTCCCATTTCCCATTTCCCTGCTGCCCGGAGTGAAAGTGAAATCGCCAGGCGTTCAATGAACCTCCTTTGGATCTTGGGCCTGCCAAAGGCAGAGCTCCCCCGCCCCAGAACTAATTGAAGATTTCGAATCTCCGCCTCCGTGGCCGTGGCCCTTTCTTAACTCGAATCCCAATCTCAGGCGACTCCTAGAGCAAAGCAAAGCAGACAATTTATGGCTCAAATTAAATGCATGGAAATTATGATGAATGCGAGGCAAAATTTATGCTGATGACATACCCAACAAAAGAGCGCCAACCCGCCCAGACTCCTACGGCTCCCTGAGCTCCTCCTGCTCCTCCTGCTCCTCCTGCTCCGCGACTCCTGGAGGGCAGCTCCAATCAAGAGCCAGACGATCCACAGACAACAAATCGCCGGGTTGAGGAGCTGCGGCCCAAGTCGCTTGTTGTCATGTTTACACAGAGGAAAATATGTTCTTATAGCAGTTATAATTTATATAGAGATTGCTATTCCTCTTCGAATTTTTATCTATACTTGCAAATAAAACTTGTAAAAGAGTGACACTCTAGGAGGTTTTTGGTATCGGAATTTTCGATTCCGGATCGATTTCAATGATGATTTTTCCCCAGTGCAACCCTGGGTCTGGTCCTAAGATCCACTGCCCCCCGCCCCTCCCTTTTGCCGCCTCTCGCGCAGCTGCAGAGGTGGGGACTCCAGCGACGCGGACTCCTTGTGGCTGCGGCCTGCCTCTAGCCGAAAGTTGTTGCGTATTTAAAATGGAAATTGCAAGTTTTTTGCTTAACGTTCCAATGTCTTTTTCCCCGTCTCTTTCTCTCTCTCTCTCTGTCTCTATCTCTCTCGCTCTCGCTCGTCGGCGCTTTTGTTTCACTTTCGTTTGCTGATTGCAGGTTTTTGTTTCAGCTTATTTTCATTTTTTTCCGTCTTATTCGGTGCATTTATCACGGTGCCACACATTTGTGCCACAAGATGCCAACAGATCGGGCAGGCATGGCCAAATAAATTGCTAAAAGAGCGCGCAGTTTTATTTTCATTTTCGCAAATTGAATGCGGGGATCCAGTCTGATTTCAAGGGTGTTCGCTTGCTGACCGGGACACGCCCCCTTCTTCATATTTGGGTGAAATTGGGCGATCTTGCCACATCCATCGGCAGTTTTGTCATCTTTGGCTGGCAGGTTATGAAATGTTTCGCAACTCCTGCGCGTAATTTCCTGTTTTACTTTTTTCACTTACGCACTTACTATATTATATGCGGCTCCTTCATCTGGGGCTCGGTGGGTCTCTCGGCCGATCGGTATTAATTATTATGGTCTCGTTTTTTTCGCCTTACGGATTTTTGCAGCTTTTATTTTGTGCCCGGCGAACCTGTTGCAATGCGTTCCACAAGCCGAGAAATGCGCCTGGGTGTGGGGAGATAAATAGTTATGGGGCTCTGGGTTGGATTAGGTTGGGCCTCGGAAAAACTGTATTTTACTTAATGGCAAAACCATCTTTAACCCATGACCAGCCCAGGTGCCCAAGCCCCACACACACCAGCCCTTATTCGTTCGCCTATTAAGACCATTTAGCTTTCATTAAGTCCAATTTCGGGCCCACATTGCTCGGAATAATCAGCAAATTAACTAAATTCCTAGTGGGCGCCTCCACCCCCGAATAATCCAAATTCCGAAGTTGTGACAACGAGAAATGTCGAAGCGATTTCAAGAGCAGTGCAAGAATCTTGGGAACATATCCAAAACATTCCGACCGGGTGCAACCTGTCGGATCCGGCGGGTCTTACAGATAATTTCAAACATGTTCGAGGCGAACCTCATGATGAGGTTGCATGGAATCCATGAGATACAATCCACAAGCTGCTTCGTAGCCACAACCTGCGGAATTTCAGTTCAGTTCGCGCTCAACTCACAGACACGATGGTCGTGAAACCGTTAACGAAATAAAAACACATAAATAATATACAAATTTCAAATAATAACACACTAAAATATGCACTAAACACAGTACTGTAGCTAAACCAACGAACTGTAAATAATTGTGTAAATAAACAAGACAAGAAACCTCGGAATACCAAAAGACCGCTCAAGTTCCCATGCATTGAGCTGGCCAATCGGTTTGAAAATAATTGTTTGATCGATTTTGTGTGTGAACACCTTGTGAAGGCATTTGCGAACCGATTGCCATAGCAAGCAAAGTGTGTTAAACAGGAAAACACCCTCGAAAGTTCAAATACAACCCCCTCGATCGGGTTAACCTTCCACAAGAAAACAGAGCCAAATACCCACCACTTCCCTTCAAGTTTGTGTTAACGTGCTGCTGACTAATTGCCTTTATATAGCCCGACTATATAAAACTGTGCAATAAGACACGGCCAACTCTTAAGTTTCGACGCCTCAGTTAAGCTGGAAGTTGCTTCGCTCGCAAGTGAAGTTCTAACTTTCGCAGCGAAAACGTTTTTCAATTAATTTTCATTGAGTGAAGGAGGCGAGAACGCCTTGTTTCGGTTCGGTTTCCAATTGAACACAGCCACCAACACCAGAGCCGTAAAAGTGAACTGCATTTCAAGTAGAGCAAAACAGTAACGACTTCATCATCGAATCGAGTCAGATGCTGCATAATTAGCATTCGCTTGTGTGGAGTGACGAAAAGCCAGCGGAAAATGTATCTCATACAGGTGAGGCCGAGCGGCACAATAGCTACAATAGATATCCCCCTAGTAATTAAGTGTTTGCTCTTACTTATCACATGCTGGCGGCAACTGCACTTGCAGCCTGAAAGAGATCTTCGTTTAAGCGTTTTTTAATTGTCCGCCAGCCGAGATTTCCCCACCGTTCTCCCCGCCTTTCGAAAACCGAGTGTGCGTGCCGCTCCAGCGTGTATAATTTGTTTAATTTGTGGCTAATTTATCTTTCCACTTGGCCGGGGGGTTCACTATGCTATGGGGGTTCACTGGAGCAGGTGGCTCATTGCTGAACTCTGAACTTGAAACGGTGTTACGATTTACAGCTGCTAGGTGATAGGGGCCTAAAACCCTATGAAGTAGCCCATAAAATATCTGTCATTATATTTCATTTTGTTAATCTCGTATTCACAAATTCCATTTGCATAAGAACCATTGAAAAACAGATTGATTGTTGAGTTATTTAAACCAAAATTTGTGCAAGCAAGATGTCTGAAAAGAAGTCAACTGAGAAGTCCGAAAGGCTCCTGACCATTCTGCATGCCATTTCGGAAATAGTGAATGCAGGACTGAACAAGGAGGCCATTGCAATCTGCGTCGAGATGATCGAGAGCGGGGTCAGTGCCAAGTCTCTAGTCAAGATTGTCAAGTCCATCAGGGAGGACATCGAGAACCCAGGTCTTGGTGAACTGCACTTGAAGTCATACAGCGAGAAGTCCGATGATTCGCCTCGCTCATCGGAGAAGTGTCCCCCAACACACAGGACTGTTTAAAAACTGATTCCTCTATCGGTTTTTGTTCTTGTTTATTTTGTTTAAATTAAAAGTTCAGCTTCCAGACTTTTTACTTGCATTGTTTTCGAGCTCAGTTTTTAGGGAGAAGAGGTCAACCGTTTTTGGCAGTCGGGGCAATTGCAAGTGTCCGCCTGAGAGTTCACCATTCGCAAGCGGCTGGTATTTCTGAACACGGTATAAGTTCCGGCCAAAATAATCAGTAACTGGATCACTTTGGCCTGATAGTAAGTCTGAAAAGAGCAGATTTCTGTAGGAAAGGAGCTACGATCAGTTAAAATACACTCGACTTGCCTGCCTTATGTAGATGGCCAGTGGAACATGCGCTCGATGCACGTGGTAATCCATTCCCCGGAAAAGCCAATATCCCGGCCACGCCCCCAAGCTGGCAAAGAGAAACGGGGCGGCCGTGCTGTAGGCACTCTCAAAAGGTTTCGAATGCACCATTAGGCGTATTTCCTCGCCAAGATTGTGCATTTTGGGTGCGTTGATCTTTTTCTTGGCTGTTTCCTCCTCCTTTCTGGTGCTGCCCTGGATCTTTTCCCTCAGAGTATTAAAATAGTTGCGTATGCCCATTTTCAGACGATTTTGAATTTATTTTTACCGAAAATAATGTTTAATGTGGGATGTTTGTGTGCAAATCCGAGAGAAGTATGCGCCAAGGCTTACTTGGGCAATGAGGAATCGCCAATATCAGTATCATCTGCTTTCGGTTCTTCCTGGTTCACCTTTTGCACTTGAATTGGCATGCCTGCGGAATGACCCATTGACACCGTACACAAGCCAGCGGCCAGGATGGCCAACTGCATTAGTTTGGCCTGCTGATAGGTCTAAAAAGAGAGTGCTAATGGGAACCATATCAACATAGATCAAACCTCACCCTTTGTATGTAGATTGCGATCCTTTCCGTTTTGCGTTGGGCGTGCCAATTGTAGCCGCGCCAAAACCAAAAAGCTGGCCAGGACAAGAAGCTGACCTCCAAATAGGGCAGCATCTCCAAGAGCTTCTTGGACATTCCCCTGGGAGCATTGCGGTCCACAAAGTCGACGAACTCAAATTCGTAGTTGATCGACGGAGATTTTTGCTCCTGGAACTGCTGCAAACTTAAATCTGGGGTTGGCAGATCAGCCGAGGTTATGGGTTCAGTTTTGCCACGGGAAGAGTCGCTTCGCTTCTCGGGTTTCTCGTTCGAAGTTCCGATTGGATCGGGAGGGAATGGTTTCCCTGCCTCTGAGGTCTCTGAGCACTTGGGGCTCTGGAGAACCTCCTCGATTGTGGGGAAGGAGTTGTTGAACAGCTCCGAGATCTTCTGGCGCAGCCTATCCATCCTGATAAGCCGGACTTTCGACCTTAAATTTTGAATATATTAAGAGTGCTGAAATGGAGAGGAAAAGCTTGCTAGGTGTCGTTCGAAAGGTTCAAAGACTTGTGGCCGTTGCATAAATAACCACTTGGATCCAGCTCTTTGTCGTTCATGCGGGCTAACATTTGTTCAAGCCTAATTTACCTTGTTTAATTTTTCTATTTTCTATTTTTATTTGGGGGCCCACAGAAGCCGCGGAACAAGCTCCATTACTGTCGAGCTGCGGGTGTCCGAGACCGGGGTTCTATGGCATATAGCATATAGCATATAGCCAATAGTGTGGTGCCGAAGTGGGTCAGTTGGCGCAGCGGTTCATGCAATTATAAAGCGCATATCTACAGGTTGCACACTCCGGTGTATACCTTCTACTCAGACCGCGTCTCCGACTCCGACTTCGACTTCCAAGTGGACTGGGGTCCATTGTGTGGCGGTAGCTAACTGCTAACTGCTAACGGCTTGCACAGCAGGTGTCTCCTCGGCCGCAGTTCATTGTGTTTCGCTCTGGGTTCTTTGTGTTTTGTGTTTTTCGGCCGAAAATGCGGCTTACCTTCGACGAAAATGCTTGTGTGCCAGCTTCCTGCCACTATCTCGATTCAGTAAACTAGTTTTCCTCTCTCGGCGGAGAACGAACGCCTAATGATCAGTGCATTCGATCAAGAGAATTACGAAAATACCGAAAGAAATGCCATTTAACGGTGGATGGATAGTGGGGCTTATTCCCGAATATCTCCACAGATTCCGGGGACAAAGACGCGCCTAATGAAGTGAAAATCGTAGGTTCTTTTGAAGAACGCTTGATTGGCGGATTGCGTTGAGAGATTCTTTGGTTTCCATTTGCTTCAAAGCCCGATGGTTCATCAATCATGTGGAAAGTTGACATCTAACACTCTGACCGTACGATGCTTCTGCAGATGAATGCAGAAGACTTGGAATTGATCCACTTGCCCACTTATTTAGCTGAGCGTATCAGAATTACCATTTTGAAGCCATTACGCCTCCCCTTTTCCACTTTTCCAGCATCTTCGGGCCAATCTACTCAAGCGTTCAGCTCGTACGGGGCTTTCATTCAAGACGTCATAAACCACAAATTGCATTTGTAAGACTTCTCGCACAGATCGATTCTCAAACTCTCCACCTCAACAGCTCAACTGCTCAACAGCTCAGCATTCTACCTTTCTCATTTCTCGGGAACAGCCTACACACAATCAGCCTTCGACTGCTTGAAGTCGGCTCAATTAACCCAATTTCAATTGGGAAAATGATTTGCAAAAACCCAAATAAATCGCTTTGAAAGTCTTCGGCCCGTTGTCAAAACACTCGGGCATAAATCAAATCACCCCGCCATGAAATTTCTTTTGGCCAAAACGCCAACTCGCTTTTGGGCCCACCTGCAATTAGTCTGCTCAGGTGGGTGTCTGTCCTTTTATTTCTGTGTTTCTGCTGCCTGGATCGTGTGAAATTGCAGCTTTAACCGCGGTCAATGTTAATACACCTTTCGGCAGAAAGCAATTTCTGTCGACTGGCAAGTTGTATAACCAATTGATGGCGGTAAATGTCTGGATTTTGTGTGAAAGGTCTGCCCGTGAAGCAAGTGACGACACTTCAGGTGTCAAGTGCACCGAATTCGTTGGAGATTGGTTACCAAAATCGGTTTAATTTTGTTACCCGAACGAACGTTGCTTAATTATTTGTAACTGCTTTGTAATTGTTATGTACTGAAGATCTTTTTGGTCAAAGTATAAGTTGATAGACCAATTATTAAAAGAGAGGTTCCATTCACTCATTAAGTTTTGGCTCTGATTTTGGTCTGGGCGACTTCGGAAAGCCAATAGTTTAAGGGCAAAGATCACGAGACCTTTAGACTTTTAACAATGCATAAGGTTCTTTTGAGTTTCCATATTTAAAAGCTTTTAAGCGCGGCCATCTAAGAACTTTCCGTTCGCCTTGGGTTTCCATCAAGCGCTAATCTCGATCTTTTAGCTGCATTCCGCTTATCCACTTTGAGCTACCGGCCTTGTCAGAGGAGCAATGTATCTTCAGTCTTTTGGACCTGCCTGCAACGGCAAAAGCCAATCCCCAATAGCGTGCCTCATCACTCTTATTCTCGGCATTATTACGAACTGCCGCATCACTCCCCGCCAATCTCGACTAACCCATCTTCGACGGGGACGACGGGGGACCCGCATACCGAAAAGCCGAGCGTATTACTCAATTTTCGATGCTCAGATTTCGGACAGACAGCGAAAAAGCAAAACACAAAGGGCAAAACGAAGATGCCACACCAAACTAAGTATATAAACACAAACAATGCCGGCAGTTGACACTTTGACAAATGATATTGTGGCTGGCTCGATAAGAACTCGCAACAGAGGGCCCCATACATCAGAAATGCGACATAATTTTTAGAAGATTCTTTTTGTTTTTATTGAAAAAAAGTTCCTAAGTGAATGTGATGCTTGGGCTATCGCTAAAACCCTGGTTGCCGTTACACTGGGTCAACAACTTGGGAAAAACGAGACGAGACGGGATCTAAGTTGATATTGATACGGATTTGCTCTAGATTTACACATGAACGAGTCGCAGTCGGTGATCCTCAAATGTCGTCTGTGGTTTTGAATTCAAATTGGGTTGGGCTCGGTTCGGTTCAGTTCGGTTTGGTGCGTAATAAGACTCTTATTATGGGAGTCACTGGCCATTTGATCTTGGCCAGTTCGAATCCCTGGCTCGGCTCAGCCATGAGGAATTTGGTTTACGATTTGGGCGAGGCTTCATCCTCTTTGGTATTCCTTTGCTTCGAGGCGGGGACCACATAATTCCGCATTCCCTGACATGAAATATGTATCAATTTAATTACCCGAAAGTCCTGAACACGCAATTAAAGTTCGGGGAACCCTTTCCGAACCATCCCTAAAATGCCAGTGTACCTTTTTCGAGGAGAATCATGTTTATGAGGTTGCAACAAACAATAAGACGACACACCTACAACTACCTGAAACTAGATACAGGATTCTGTGATTCCTTGAAACGGCAGGCCAAAGAATTGGGAAGAATAAATACTGTCGGCTTTTGATTCCCTGTACGATTCCTACCTGTTTCTTTCTTCTAGATTTTCCGTGGATGATTTATCTTTGACAGACTTATTTCATGCCCTATCAATTGGGAAAAGAGGGGAACCTTTTGATTTGAATATTTTACGGGGCTCAAGTTCATTGCCTTCGGGGCGTGGCTCTAAATGCAATCAAACCCATTTGTTAAGGTGTTTTTTGGAGGCGTAAGAGTTTCTTTCGAGGGACCCCAAATTTTGAATGCGTTTCAGTTAATCAAACGTAGCGAATCGGGCGTTTATACTTCCCACCTAGAATGGTTTCCAAAGCGGAACTCACGCTCCAATGTTATTTGATAGTCCCACGAGGAAAACTTGTTTTATTTTATTTTTCCCTCGATAAACTTGGCATGACTGAGGCCGCGAGTCGAGGCGAGCATTACATTCATTGTTGAGCCTTTATCGAGTATCTATATTTAATTTAATCGATGCAAATGCTCGAGAGTCATGAACACGCTACCCGATGACCTTCAAATGTCTGCAGAGAAATGCGTTAAAAAGCTTATCATAATGACCATAATTAAGTGCGATTGAACCACTATATCTTTTTTTGTATTGTTGTATTGTCTTTTTGTGTATTATTAAGCGAAATTATTGGCTTCCTACTTAATTGCCGCACGTGTTTCGGCTGGAAAATAAAAGAAATCACTAAAAGCGCGTTTCATATGCTGATGTTGAAGTTGATGTTGATGTCCATGTCCATGTACCATGACACATGTCTGGTGGAGATCGGGCAGGGGGAGGGGGCAATCCCCTGTGTCTGACATTGATGAAATGGGCTTTTATGGCCGTGTTTTTGGTGATGGAGAGTTGTGTAATTGTTGTCTCACGTTGAATGGCATGTCGAATATAGTTTTGATTTGTTTTCTTTGTTGGTTACATTCAAGCGGATGAAAGGGAGTAGTTTTACTCCTTAAAACTTTGCAGGCAAATGGAGTCCTCACCAAGAAATAATTATTTTCTGATCTGCATTGCAATTGCTACTATATATATCTTGAGCTCTTTTCATTCGTTTTATTATTTCAACTTGCCGTGCGCACGTCGCTTGAGTAAATGAAATATGTTACGTGATCGTCGCGGTCGACAACTAAGTCTTTGGCATTAAGTGGAAAAATAGTCTCGTAAAAGTAGGTGGAAAAATAATGGAAAATTACTAGAAAAACATTTGTGTGGTCCAGTGATGCAATAAAGCAGAGAAAGAAAATCAGATTAATATCTCTATATGGGACATGATCCAGAAACCAAACTGAGTTTAGATTCGTTTCTGTACAAAATGTATACATAATGTATTATTAAATGCTGAATGGTCGAGTTTCCGCTCAATTGTTTTTTCGGTATTATGAAACCATGTTTATGCGCTATTTGCTGCTACTGCACTTTTCTGTGGCCCGCCACAAACATTTTGTTTTGATAAATACAAATTCGCTTCGAAATCCGATAGAAAATTATAATTTCCAGATGGAGCAATCGATTCGTACAATTACATAAAGAAAATAGTTTTCCAATTTTGTTTCTGTTACTCTCTTTCGACTTTTTCTGTTTGCTTGTTGTTTCAAGTAATTCCGAAATCCAATTAAGTTCAATAACAATTAAGTGGGAAAGAGAAGACAAAACAAACAAAATCAGATAGTTGCTTTTTAATTACTCGGTTTAGCCCTTAGTTTATTGCTCTTTATCGTGGTCCCCTTTGGCCGTTTGGTAGTTTGCTCATTTAATTGAAGCCCCTAAAGGGCAAGTTCGATGATATGTGTACTGGTATCTTTAGTGCCGTCTTTTATTCGATGATGTCGGCTACTTTTTATTGTCGGACGAACGCAAACACAAATCGATGACACCTTTGGAAGTGGGGGCTTTAAATAGGTTTAAGCCCGGTCGAAAAACAATCGATAGTGCGTAAGTGCCGAGTTTCTGTGTTGACCGCTGTCTTTCATAAAGAAGAATGTCAAGAGGCC